GGATGCAGCTTCTTTGCCAGTATGACTGAAGGGAAGGCAGAATATAGAGGGTCACTATTGTGCTGGAAGAAAATGTGGATTGGTACGTTCCCCCAGAGCATCCATCCTTGGGATCCAGGCTGAACCCTCCCTCTTTCCCCAATAGCTCAAGGACTCTAGAAACTTGTATATATCAGATATGACCTTGTCAATCTGGAGGTCCCCAATAGAAGAGAGTGGGGACACAGGTTTGTTCTGATGTTGTGGATCATCTCTCTTTCTCAGCTTCTTCATCTCTATCATTGGGCACCTGTGGAGGACTGGAGTCTCTCAACCAACCCGGAAGCTGATCTCTCACTTATCAAAGAATGAAATATACCCTTCAATCCGTATCTTATACCACTAGGCTGGAATTGGACATGTGCTCCATTCTGGCAAGGTGTCTGGTTTATTGCTATCTCCATGGAGGGTTGTATGGGCAACTCTGCCAGTCCTGTAACTAACTTTGTCACATACCCATATCATACATGGAGACCTTTTCCCTAGACATTGGATGGTTCCAAACACAAATCACTTGCAGCTCAGATTCCAGGTTTTGTATACCTCCCCATACCACTGTTCTAGACTTTGGGCTTGAAAGCCACCACGAAGCATCCTCCATGCCTGCCTCTGTGTGCTTTTCTGAAAATTCAACCATCACACACCCTTCCCTGCTGCTTCATACTGTTCATACAATGTGTTTTTCTGTTTAATGTGGACAGCTTCATGTTCAATGGAGCCATCAGAATAGCCCCTTGAAGGCTGACAGGTGCTGGGCAGATAGATTATTTCCTGTTTTAGGACCACCAGTTCTCTCCCATCAAGACCAGTGCTTCCAGAAGCTTTTCCCAGTCAACTGGTGCAGGGTCACGATATGAAGGAGGACCATCTTAATATTTTCTCTAAAGCAAGGAAATCATCAGAACACTTGTGGGCAGGCCCTGCTGTGAATCAGAAGACAAGAGCCGAGGCCAAGGGAAGGCCGCGTGGAAACACTGGGATATTAGTGAGGTGATGGGGGAGTGAACACGTAGGAATGCTGAAAGTACCTCCACTCCCCCCACCCCCCCCCCCGGTGGAGGCACCGCAGAAGACCAAATCGTTGTTCCTGTAACTTGGGGTTCTGCTTTCACCCTGGACTCACTCCCCAAGTGCAGCCAGATGCTCTGGTTCAATCAGTTTTACTGGAGACTTTCAACTGTGCTACTCCTTTGGCCTGGAACATTCTCACATCTTACCTCTATCCATACTTTTGTCCATTCAACAATAGCAGTTGCCAAGTGGGAGGTAGGATGACTGTGAGGGAAATGTAACTTAGTAGAGGCAAGAAGGCCCTTCCTTCTGCTTGTGTTCCAGCTGTCAAAAATGTAGCTCTTCAGTCCTCAAAGTTTTCTTTCCATGCCAGCTGCAACATGGAAAGTTTCTGCTAAAGATAAGACCCTTGGTTCATACCTGTAATCCTAGCCACTCAGGAGTTTAAGATCTGAGGCTAGAGGTTCAGATCCAGACCAGGCAGATAAATTGGAGAGATTCTTATGACCAATCAACTAGAAAATATCTGGAAATTCAGGCATGGCTAAAATGGTAGAACACTAGCTGAAAGTAAAGAAGCTGAGCATGAGTACAAGGCCCCTGTATTCAACCCCAGGATTGTCACACACCACACACACACGCACACACACACACACACACACACACACACACACACACACCATGAAATCTGGAGCTCTAGAGCCAACCCTGATACTTCTTATGTCTCAAGACTAATGCCAGCAGCAAGCGTTCATTCTCGACAGCTCATTTTGCAGGCCACATGTGGCCAGGTTTCAGCAGGAAAAGATCACTAGAAGGTCTTCTCTCTTTGTGGCTTCCAGGCCTGGTCACCACTGCATCTACCCAAGAGGGAGGAGCCTCCCATGCAGACTGCTTTCTCCTTGCTCATCCTCTCGGACCAGCTCTTTGCCTGCAGTGAGGCTGACACAGTTCTTCCTGAAGGATTTAGCATAGAGGTCCAAAGCTGTGGATGCCTCTGTGTGTGCCCTGTGGAGGGCATTGTGGGTCACGAAGGAGGCTAAGAACAACAGGAAGATATGGTAGAGGCTCAGATTGGGGAGTTCCATGTGATAATTGGGATCTAAAACATTCCAGAGTGTGAAGTTCTAGATGGATTTGCTTAAGAGCAGTATGGCTGCTGTGCCTAGATTATTTGGGAAATGCTACTCTGACCCCCGATTATACAAATTAGGGATAGGCATCAGGGAGGTGAGGATACACTAGGGGCAGGACTAGGATTTCTACTCTGACTGTTTAGATAAAAAATCAACACTTTGTCCAAAGGAATCTCAGCCCTCCTTGTCACAACCTGGGGCACAGACAGCTCAGGGTTAGATTCTGAATATAAAAATGAAAATCCAAATAGAATTTTTTGGAAAGACTGGTGCAGGGAGAGAGAATTTAAGGTTACACATTTGAGCTTGGCAGTCAATGTGTGTCTTTCTAGCTGGAAGTTTCTTTCCTGGAAACTTAGAACGTATAACTTTGTTATCTCTTGTTTGGTCATATACGTCCATTGATGAGCTCCTATCAGCTGGTAGACTTGCTCTGGACACTGAAGGACATCACTGATATATCAGTGAAGCAGAGATCAGATCCCCCTGGGTGGGGAGGGGGTTTAAGAACAAGATACATGTACAGCATTTACATGCTGGAAGATGCTGAGAGAGCTTTGGTGTAGATAAGGGGAGGATGAATGAGAGGCCAGGGTAAACTTCACAGGAGGCATGGATAGGACTGGTAGAGAGGAGGCCTGGTATGAGGCTGTGGTTGGAACCAGCCACCCCTGGCATTCAGAAAAAGAGAGAATCTTGCTAAATCTTCTCGGGCAGGTCATGGATGGCTCAGTGGATGGACCTAATGGCCCTTTGTCAGATGATTTAGGAAAAAGATGAGTTCTGGACAAGCATCCATTGGGAAGGCTGGCCTTCCTTCCACAGCAGGCCCCACATGCGTATACCAAGAAACCTTGGTCTTGAAATGAAAACCAAGTATTTACTAAGGAGCAATGGTTGACTAATAGGACAATGGTTCCATGTGGGACTTCTATCTCCTGGCTGGATAGATACTGACTGAGGAGAAGCTGGGATGCTATGTCGCATGGGCAAAAGAGCTGAGGGGAAAGCAGGGGTCCTCCTTGTCATGGAGATCAGAAGGAGGTAACAATGTGGAGCTCAAGTACAGGCTAGCAAGGCCTTGGGACCTTTAATGCCAGGTGCCAGTGGCTCAAGTCTGTAGTCCTAGCTATTCAGGAGGCTGAATCCTCAGGATGGCAGGTTAAAGCCAGCTTGAGCAGCAAAGTCTGTGAGACTCTTATCTCCACTTACTTACCAAAAAGCCAGCATTGGAACTGTAGCTCAAGCGGTAGAGTACTAGCTTTGAGCAAAAAGGCTCAGGGACAAACCCACATGCACACGTGCACACACACACACACACACACACACACACACACACACACACACACACACACACACACAATGTCTTTACTATGCCACTAGTCCTCTACCTTGCCATGGCCTTGTCTTACTCCACAACCAGGATTGACAAGATAAAATCCTGTGTGACAAAGTAACAAACATAACCTTGAGGTATCAGGCATAAATACTGAGGCACATTAATGGCCTCACGCTTTAGACCATGGCTTCCTGGGACTCTAATAATCCACTGCATTTTATCCTTACATAGTAAATGGTTGAGGTAGGGGGAATTGTAGATATTCTTCCTTTACACTGACGAATTCACTTTTACCCACATCAGAGTCCTAGGAACACACATTATCTGCAAAGCAACCCACCCTCTATTGATATATTATCCAGAGTTGCTCTCTAGGTCATCCTAATAACCAGGTAACCTGAGTAGCCTGGCTAGACCTGCTCTGGTGCAGGAGAGGCAGAGTTGGCTGAGCTAAGGGAACTCTCACTTGTCCAGAGGTGTCAGAAATGAAAGTGCTCAGAATTCCTCTTTCTAAATATTATAGGGTTCCTGGAATCTTTTAAGAGGTTCTTTTTCATGGAAATAGTAAACAGAAGTGTGAAGAATGGATGAATGTTTGTTCTAATTTTGCTGCCTGCTGGACAGTAAGATTAGAACGTCTTCCAGCCTTGAAGAAATAAAATTAAAATCAAAATCCCCCAATGTAGAAGGCCTCGGAAGGAGTAGGATAGAAAGAAAATACTTTCAGTGATGAACAGTGTTTTATCGCAGAGGCTGACACATCACAGTCATCCTATGAGAATATGGCAAAAAAAAAAAAGCGGATACATCCGCTTCACTCTCTCTTGATGAGATAATATTCTCCTGATGATAAATAGTCCTTGGTAGAGCACTGACCAGCACCAGGGACACAAATTGTCACTCTAGGTTCATCCTGGATACCTGCCCTTCTTTATTACTCACAGAATCTTCGGGAAGGGAATCAAGAACTTCTATCTCCATGACTTACCCACCCAGCCTATGTCAGGACCATCTAGTCTCCAAGGTCTTGGGAGAAGCTCTCTTCCTGGTCACATCAAACAGGATGCCCAAGCCTGGTGCTAGTGGTTCACACCTGTAATCCTAGCTACTCAGGAGACTAAAGATCATAGTTTGAAGCCAGCCTGGGCAGGAAAGTCCATGAGACTCTTATCTCCAATTAACTACTCAGAAAAAAAAAGCAGGAAGTAATGCTGTGGCACAAGTGGCAGAACGTTAGCCTTGAGAAAAAGAATCTCAGGGATAGCACCTAGACCCTGAGTTCAAGCCCCCTCTCCCTGCCACACCCCTAAACAAACAAAAAAACCAGGATGCCCAAGTCCTTGAGAAGACTATACAATTGGCAAGAAGCCTATCAGTTGTTAAGGTCTGTACACATTTCATCAAAATTAAAAGGTTTTCTGAAGACTCTTCTTTTTTCAAATGTGATGTTTATGACGTTTATTACTGTGCCCATTTTTAAAATAACCAAAGAAAAATCAATTTTAAAAATGCCCAACTGTTAGTCCAGGCAGTATTGACATTTCAGCTTGACTGGTTCATGGTAGAGCATAAATGTGTGGGCATCTGAAGCAATTCCTTACAGACCCAGCTTGGTTCTCCTCCAGTGTCTTCTCTTGGAGTTGTACCTGATTTTGTTATCAGTTTTCATCCAAATCCACGGGGGAATGGGGTGATTTTGCTTTTGCTTCTTGACCAGAAACCGCTTGATTCTGAAAGTCTTGTGAGAAGATGTGGTGAGAAGCTCAGGAAAGCACATAACCAGGATGGTGAACAAAAGCTGACGAGCTGAAGACTCTTAAGAAAAGCCAGAGATGACATCTTCCAACACTCAAAAAAGAAAAAACACACCGAGAATTCAAGTTTTCATTGTAATTTTTCCTTCACCTTACTCTGCTTCTAAGGGCAGTCCCAATACTCCACTGTCAGGACAACAGGCCCTCCAGCACTAACACAAAGACTGTGAACGGGTATTTTCTCTTCATCTGAAGGAATGGGGGGAAATGGGCTGGCTTAGGCTTTTGTGAAGAATTGCCTAACTCATAGAACAATCCTAACTCTGAGGTTTATAATTAGCTAACACATCTGGAGGTGCTTCACGGTTCCTTTGCCAACTTCCCTTAGCCAGGCCTCACAGTGACCACTCACTGTCACACCACAAGGTCTGAACCATAAGAACTTTTGCTTCCAGGACACACCACACTCCTTCACTTATCCACTATGGTGAGATCTGCAGCAGATATCCACTTCCAGGCAGCTCCCAGGGCCTCTGGGACCCTACCATTGTTTAGTAATTGCAACTAAACTAGAACCATGAACTCTGCTAAAGAAGACATATGAGATGGTCAGGTTTGAAAGTTCTGAACATTCTAGAAAAAGAGACACTTTGATTATTTGATTTAGAGAGTGATTTTGGACATTTATTTCAGACACACTAGCAACCTTATCATGTGTGTCATACATTTTGCCAGAACTAGTCTTACTCATAGCTCCCTGAAACCATCAACCATGACCTTCAGGACTGGGCATGTAGCTGAGTGTTAGAGTATGTGTTTTGTATACCTGAGGTCATAGGTTTTTCTCCCTAACAATAGGGAGAAAAAGATTTAACAAAGTAGCTGAAAAAGTCAAGAAAAGATTTACTTTGTCTCAGTGTCCAGGTTTCCATCTATGACCATCGATTTCTGCACCTGTGGTGAGGCAGCAAGCACATTACATTAGAAGAGTGTGATGGAGCAAAGCTGCTCACCTCATGGTGGCCAGGAAGCAGAGGAGGGGGACTCACAAACAAGATTTATCCCTTATGGTTACACCCTAGTGATCAAGTGCCTCCAGTTAGGAACCACTTCCTAACATTTCCACCACTTCTCAGTAGCCTACCAGCTGAGAAACAAGCTTTCAAACATGATTCAATGGGGGAACATTCTGGATCCAAACTGTAATAGTGCTCCCCACCTCCACTCAGCACGTGTTTCCATCTCTAGTTCATGAAGTATTTACCTCCAGCCTGAAGGCAAGGAAGCCAGGTTAGCCAGCATTCTCCTAAATGTGTTGTTTGTGTCAGGTAGGTCCTGGAAAGCTCCAATCCTAGAACTGAATGACAATGTTTCATTAGAGGTTGCCTAGATGCTTCCACCTTGGGTGCTCTGAGGCTCTGGGCTGCACTAATGCTCATCAAAGTACTGTGAATGTGCTTAATGACACTGAATTGCAATTAAGAATAGTTTTCCTTAATCCAGGTATATGTAGGCATTGTAAGAATCACATCACTTTTATATTATTATATGTTATTATTATAATCACTTGAGTGCTATCCTCTCCTGTCTTCCCTTAGCCTGGAAGCTCCCCCTACTGCCTTCAGGACTAAGATATCCTCTAGTCCAGGACCAATCATCCTACCTGGGCATCCTTATTGCCCTCTCTTTCAGTCTTTATGTTTGAACCCTCTGGAACCTGGTTACAGCTGTGAGGACATCCATCTGGCTCCCACACACTCAAAGCTCCTGAGTTGCTCTTTCAGTGTGAGACTGCATGTCAGCCACAACATTGTTCACCCCCTGTACTATCCCAGCCCTTTGTCACATGATGAAATGTTCAGCATGAACTACACACTGTAGGCAAATACTTGCTTCCACTGTTAGCCACTTCAAGAGCCAAGAGATGGAGAAGATAGGGCTTTAACTTCTCTACAAAGTTGGGCGTGAAAACAAAAGCTGAGCTACTTTGGGAACAAGAGCATCTTGTTCACAAAACAGAGTCCACAAAGAAAGGACTGGCCTTCTGTGGTGCATGACCTGTCCTAGTGAAGTGCATCCTTGGCTAACACACATGATGAATGTGAGCACTTGTCACATCAGTAGTACTTCTAGGGGGTGCTACTGTCCTGAACCTGTCAGCTGATGTCAGCTCTGCTTGGGGAAGGAAAAAATCACCTGAAGTTTAGAAGGCACATCGATACCACTACTGAGTTGAGAAGGGAGTGACAGTATAGAAGAACCACCCAGATATATTTGTCTAGGCTCAGGAGCAGCTCTGGCAGAGGAGGACTGTGAAGCTGAGCCAGGGGATTTGGACTCTTGCCTAGGATGAACAAGTCCAGGATGAGTGACATAGTCCCCAGGCTCCTTCCAGGGTTGTACAGAGGACCAGGGTGAATGTCAGAGAAGGAAGAATGTACTGGCAGGAGAGATGCTAGAGCCTGATTGAACAAGAAGAGAGATGCTGACCTCTCATAAGGAGAAGGACTGTGAGCTGTCCTAGCCTGCACTACTATGCCAAAATTCCAAGGGGACACAAGGTGAATGGACTTTGGATCCCTGTGTTATCACTTTCCAGGTCTTGACCTTTGGTTTTATCATTATCCAGAGGAGTCAGCCAATGAAGGGCCAATCTAGCTGTTTCCCACAGATTTGGTAGAATGTAGACAGTCTTCTGGGTGCCACTCCTAGGTGAGGATGTCCTAGACACTGGGCCTTACTGTGCATGTCAGAGAACACAGGTGCCAAGTAAGGGTGTTAGTAGGCCTGGAGGCCATCATGGCCTAATATTATAGGTGGGGTTGGTTTGGTGCTTGACCTTTTAGCTTAACGGAAGCCTCAATTTTCTTTTTTTTAATACATTTTTATTGTAAAAATACTGTACAGAGGAGTTACAGTTACATGAGTGATTGAGCATTGAGCCTATTGAGCATTGATGCCTCCTCCTTCATTTTTCCCCTACCATTCCTTCCTTCTCCAGCTCCCCAATTACTCTCCCCCCTCCCCCATCCCTCACCCCCATCCCCCCCTCCAAAGTTGTAAAGTTCATTTTCAACATAGTGTCTTGTATATCCCATCAACTTTCTTATCAGAGAGGAGGAGGCTTTTCTGTAATCTTTTGTTGGGAAGATAGCATAGTGAATGAGTTGGGGATAGGAAATTGTCCCACTACAGGATGCCATCTCAAGTACAGAGAACATGTATCAGGGCTAGGACAGTGGAGGGGAAAGTAAGGTATATATCAGTGCTCTAAGAAAGTTACTGCATTAAATCCTCACAAAGGCCTATAAAGGAGGTACCATTTCCTCTATTCTGTGTGAGGGCTCACAGACTCAAAGAGATTACATTGTGTATCCAACACCACACAGCCAGAAGAGGATGGAAACAGGGTTCCAATCAACTGTTTTTGACCACACATCAACTCACATTGGTAGCTGTGAGGCTTCTTCTAGGGTGACAGTAGAAAGATACACACTTGAGCAGGCTTTTCATGGTTCCTGGAGGCTGGGAGCTATAGGGGAAACTTACATGGCTTCCTCTTTCTTCTGTAGAGTTACAAAGAAAGTGTGAAGACAGGTATAGCCCTAGGCTCTTGGACAGACATTCCCCCATGATTCCTTATCACATCTGCAAGTACAAGGAGAGCTACCGGAAACAAGTCCTGGACTTAATTCCAGGGGCATGGAGGAGCACATCCCCACCACCTTTCACCATGTCCTCATGCTGCCTGGAACCCTCCTGCTCTTATTTGGGCTGCCTGCCACTTTACTCCTGGCCTATGAATCATGGGTTCTGCCCATTAGATGCACCTTCACCCTGCTCCTTTCCTGTGGTTCATTGCTGGATACCCCTGGAGGCAGTATGTGGTTATGAGTTCACACATAGACTTTCCTGACATCACCAAATCCTACCTGAGCTCCCAAGACTCCTGCTTCTGGGTGGCTGAGTGTGGGGGCCAGGTAATGGGAATAATGAGTGCAGTGACCATCAAGAATCCTCAGCCGGGAAGGAAGCAGTTGAAGCTCTCTTGTATATCTGTGGCCTTGGAGCACCAAGGAAAGGGAATAGCTAAAGCTCTGATCATGACTGTCTTCCAGTTTTTTTGTTTTTTTTTTTTTAAATTAACCCATTTATTGTAGGGTAGGGACATCTCAGATGGTAGAGCTTTTACTGGTCTTTTAATTCCTTCAGTCTTCTAATGGCAGACTTGACTGTGACGGCAGAAGTGGTGTTGTAGGTCCAGGCACCACCAGCCACTGTCTTCATGCAGGAATCACAGTGCCAGATGCCCACTGCTCGCCTCTTCATCTTTGTCTTGCCACAGAAGGAGCAGGTGTACTTGGCGTGCTGGCTGATTTCAATTTTTTTCACCATCTTCCGGAGTGAGGCACCATAGCGGATGCCGACCTTCTTGGTGCGTTTGGCCATATTGCCGTAACTCAGGTCCAGGCCCAGAGAGCGACTGTCTTCCAGTTTGCCCAGGACCAGGGCTGCAGTGAAGTTGTCCTTGATAACACACTGTTGCTATATAAGTCCCTGGTTCTCTAACAGAAAATGGGTTTTCAGAAGACTAGAGTGCCATTTCTGAACATAACAGCCAGGCTAGTATTTCTCCCTACAATTCATCTAATGTATTGTCTTCCTGCTATAGTTGGGTTATAATCTTACTTATGTGTCAGGCTAAGAGTAACTCTATGCAGTAACAAGCAAATTCTACATGGCCATAGAACAAATTATTAAAGCCCACATTTTATACTTCATGTTCCCATCTGCTTACTGGTAAAGTATGGGCATTGTGGGTTCTGTCCATTACGTCTTTTTAAAGTCCTGGGTTTAATTTTTATAATACTATGGTAATGTTACATAAGAAAAAAATAGAAACAAGAAATCATGTATAAATAAACAGTTTCTCCTATTCAAGTCCATGCCACTCACTTTGCCTTTGGACTTGATATCCACACAAACACCCTCCACAGGCTCTTCCCTGTTCTCCATGCCTGCTTCCTTGTGCTTCCCTGAAACCATCCACACACCCATTCCTCTGCTGCTCCTCACACAGCACTGTTGAAACCAAGTGTTCATTGAATATGGACATCATATGTAACATGACCATGAAATAGT